AGGTTTCACGTGCGTAGCGTGTAGCGTGATCGCGGTGGTTAAGAGGCACGAAACGTTGGAACATACGTTGAAAAAGTATGTACACTGGGAACGTTTAATCCATACCCGATGTATGGGCCCGTGCTCGTATACTTTGGAATGCAATTCATCAGTGACGTCGATCGAAATGCATTCCAGAGAAAAATCGTTTCGTCAGAGTCTGAGTTCGGCAGCGAAGCTTGGCTAGAACTCACCACTATCTTGCAACTCACACAGCTGAAGGTTCTTCGTGTGGGTGATGTCCTTGTGCGAGGCCAGAAAGAGGACGACGTCGCCCTTTTCGTTTTTGATCGGGACAATATCGAGTAGACAGTCGAATGGGCTTCCTGTTTTACAATTAAAAATTATAAAAGTCATTGATCCCCGACTTGAAATGAAAAACGCTTTTCTCTCTCTCTCTCTCCTTTCTCCTTTTTTTTTTTAATCTTCCAAAATCAATAGTGGAAAAAAAAAAAAAAGTAGCACGTATTATTGAAAGCACGAGGAAATGCTTATGCAAATGTAACAATAGAATCGATTCGATAGAATAGATTATCTTGATTAAACGTGATTCCGTTTGCACCTGTGCTCATCACGTCACGATTAATAACGTTTAATCGTAGCATAAATCATTTCTCGTAATAACACGTGCAATTAAATAATCTCGGCGAATGAAAATTTAACGGAGTTTATTTTCGTATCCTCGTTGAAAATTTTAATAATAAAAAAAATAACAATATCGGAAAAGGAAAAAGGGGAGAGAAGAGAAATTACTTTTAAAATTTTAATCTCGCCTTTCCCCCAAGGGATTGTTTCGATTGTTGCATGCAAATCGTAGGGATTTGATAATTGAAGAGAATAATTAAAATTAAAACACGAATAAATAAAACGATATCATGGTTAATTAAATAATAACTCACCGTTCTTTTTGTAGAACACCACTTCCATCTTGAGCTCCGTTTTGCTCTCGAGGCTCTTGTCGATCATCGCCCTTTCCTCTTCTTTCGTTTCCGGGCCATAGAGGAATTTGCAAGCGCAACCCTTTTGCATGATTTGCGCTCGCGCGAATCCTGTCAGCTCGCAGAAACCGTCCGAGCAATAAACGATCGGATAGAGGGACGGAACCTGCGCATTTCCCAGCACAAAATTGCTGTCTGCCAACAGAGAAACGGCCGCATAATCTCGATTAATAAATGGAGCACGGATTCGTTTCGACTACTTTATTTATCGTACTATCTGAAATTCTCCCCTTTGTTTAAAAAAAAAAAAAAACAAAAAGAATACGTTTATTATCATTTTATTTTCCAACAATTCGAGAATATGAATTTTTACCAATTAACTTTGCGCGGAATTTCAATTACCGTTTTGATGAATCAATTTATCAGTGTTCATTTTACAGTTTTTTTTCTTTTTTTTTTTTCAGTTGGCGGACCAATTGAGTTAACGATACGAGAAAGAAAGAAGAAGGAGAGGGGTCGAAAGAGAAGTCTGATTGACGTTCAACTCTGCGAAATTGTTCCACTTATGTTGTTAGTTTTGTTCATTTCTGTCGAATTTCTTCTAGGCGGAGCCTATTCTCTTTCTAAAAAAAAAAAAAAAGAAATTACTTTACTCGCGGTTATATTCGAAATGGAGGCGAGGCAAACAAGATTTCGTTGATTATTAACACACGGGAATAACGGGTGTGATGCAAGAAATTGATGCATGACTGCATCGTGTGATACAGTTCATTGGTTGATGAGCTTTGTCTACGTGCCTGACGTCACGCATAATCTCTTTCAACGTACTATTTTTAATTTTACGCTCACACCCCTTGAAACACTTTCATCTTTTCCTTCAAGCCTTGTGAGATTTCAACTCCCGACGCTTCTTCCTGTTCTTGGAAACAAAATCAATGATTCTGTTTATCAAAGGAGTTTTGTTGTATCCCGTTAATGCCTCTCTTCCAATTCTTCTTCTTCTTCTTCTTCTTCTTCTTCTTTTCTTTTAACTAATGTCCAAGTGTGCCATTTGACGTCAGAGAAGAGATGCTCTCCTTGAAATAAATGCGATAACGGAAGCGCATTTATTTTTTTTTTTTTTGTCTTCTTCTTTTTCTTTCTTTCTTTCGAACGAGCACGTCTAAACAATCTCGCGCAACTTTTTTTTGCACGTCAAAAACGGATCGTGATGGCCGATGACGAAGTCACCCTTTATGAAAAATAATGATTGTATGGTAGGGAGTCGATCTGTTAGGAAGGGATGTAAGATAAAAATACGATTTAGGGGTAAAGTTTGAAAATATTAAAGTCTAAGCGTTTTAATCTCCTCCCTATTTATTCTTATACAGGATCCGGCTGAATAATATATACAAAAAAAAAAAAAAAAAAAAAAAAAAAAAAAAA